TTCCTGCTACAAAAAAAAGGGCCTGGGTTTTGACAACAAACAAGGTAAACAGAATAACAAGCAAAAGGTGGGTGTGGCTGGATGACCACACTTCTGGTAACATGGGGGTGTGGCCTAATATGCCAATGAGCTGTGCTGTCAGGGGTGTGGCCTAATATGCTAATGAGCTTCTGCTGTTGGGTGCGGCCTATTATGCTAATGAGTTCCTGCTGGGCTTTTTCTACAAAAAAAAAGCCCTGGCTATACTACACACAATGCCACATGGTAATTAATTAGTTAGCCTGGCGAGCTTCCGTGTCAGAGTGGGGAGTCTCCCAGATCGCAGTCTGACACTGTAACCAGTGTTCCCCCTAAGCTGAGTTAGTGCGAGCTAGCTCACAGTTTTTTAGCCTCCAGCTTGCACCTTTTTGCCTTCGCTCGGGAAGGAGGGCTCCAGAGCAAACTGATTCATGCAGTAGCCCAGTCGCTCGCTCACAGCTTTAATCCCAGTTGCTCACAAAGTAGAATTTTTGCTCACAGGACTCCACAGCTTAGAGGGAACATTGACTGTAACCAGGGGTCATTTCGTAGAAAAAGAGGAGAAAAAGAGGTGCAGGAGCTCATTAGCATAACTCATTAGCATAACTTATTTGCATACGCCACACCCCCTGACATCACCGAAAGTGTGTCAGAAGTCAACACCCACCGCTCAGGCTCCACCGGACTGTTTTGGATTGCTAGCTATTGGGAGGGGGGGAAACGTGCAGATATGTCCTCGCAGAGGAGGGAGAGCTTGTACCTGAATAAAACTAGGTCTTAAAGGTGCCACTGGACTGTTTTGGATTGCTATGTATTGGGGGGGGGGAAATGTGCAGATATGTCCTCGCAGAGGAAGGAGAGCTTGTACCTGAATAAAACTTGGTCTTAAAGGTGCCACTGGACTATTTTGGGCCGGGGGGGAGCTCTGCAACTTACCTGGCTGCTTCTTGCTCTGACTGAGGGCTGCTGGGAGCAGGGGGTGAGGCTCGTTCCATGTGCCCGCCCCCTGGGCTCTTTACTGCCAGAGCTCCACTCCTGCAGGAAATGACCACTGACTGTAACCACTACGCCACCCTGCCTTTCAGTGCATCCCAGAGGAGAAAAGGTACCTTCATTCTGGATGCAGCAAGAACGCTTCCCCGTCAGCCCCTCTGCACATAGAAAACTCTCCAACTACAGAGGTCAAAATTTAATCAGAGAAGTCTGGGGGACTCTAAGGCACTAAATCGGGGGGGGGGGGATAATAAATATACCCGGCCTTTTATTTTACATTTCCAGATAGGCTACAGATCTGGACAGCCCTGAAGATGCGTACCGTCTGCGGAGATTAATAAATGGGCAATACGAAACAGTGGTAAAAGGTCATTTGAAGGGAACCAATCTGAGTTTTAATCAAGGCCGGGATTACGAGGGAACGCTCGGTCATAAACGCGGCCCTTCTTTGGCGGTAGTTGAATTGCAAAGTATTTGGGGGATATTCCTTCTCCTTTAATATTTATCAAGCACTTTGGTAAGCCCGGAAAGGGCCTGGCAAATGAAACCGTTAATGCCTTGCAAACACCGAGGGCTTCAGGGACCATTTTCGGCACTGGTTGAAGTTGTGCCTGGCTAAAGACACCTCGGAGCTATCCTTCTGTGCAGAGCTTAAGGAGGCACAGCACGGCGGGGACAACACTCTGGTGGTGGAAAAGCTCTTTGGCAGGGATTTTTGCCATGTTGACAAAAGAGACCGGAAAATCACGTCAAGGGAATGGAGGCTTCTATTCGAACGCCAGGGTTTCTCCCGAAAGAGGTGGATGTTGACAGTGTTGAGGTAACAACAGTACATTACATAAGAACATAAGAAAAGCCAATGCTGGATCAGGCCAATGGCCCATCTAGTCCAACACTCTGTCACACAGTGGCCAGAAATACCAGGTGCCATCAGGAGGTCCACCTGTGGGGCCAGGACACTACAAGCCCTCCCACCGTTTCCCCCCCCCCAAGCACCAAGAATACAAAGCATCACTTGCCCCAGACTGAGAGTCCTTATCTATACCTTGTGGCTAATAGCCACTGATGGACCTCTGCTCCATATGCTTATCTAATTCCCTTTTGAAGCCGTCCAGGCTTGTAGCCGCCACCACCTCCTGTGGCAGTGAATTCCATGTGTTAATCACTCTTCGGGTGAAGAAGGACTTCCTTTTATCCGTTCTAACCCGACCGCTCAGCAATTTCATGGAGTGCCCACGAGTTCTTGTCTTGTGAGAAAGGGAGAAAAGGACTTCTTTCTCGACCTGCTCTATCCCATGCATAATTACGTTTCTTGCACTGAATTAGTCTCGCTGGTGAGCGTATCACCTTTACTGTTATCATGCTGATGAGGGCCTTGGAGGAAGTTTGAACAGTGCGCATCTTTTAAGGAGAGGAAGGGGGGAGATCTAGGTCTGCAATTTTAATAGGGGGCTTAGTTTGGGATGTTTTTAATTATTATTGCAAGTTGCCTTGAACTGCAAGAGGAAGAAGAAGAGGAGGAGGAGGAGGAGGAGGAGGAGATTGGATTTATACCCCACCCTTCACTTGAACTCTCAGAGCAGCTTAAAATTTCCTTCCCTTCCCCTCCCCACAACAGACACCCTGTGACATAGGTGGGGCTCTTGCTCTTTGCTACTACAAAAGCAGAAAACTTCTAGACTGCAAGCCATTAGGAAGGAACCAGTTTATTTCTTGTTGTGAAGGTCCTCTTTACAAAGACATGCCAATACTAGGTAACAGCAGCAGATGTGTAAAGAACATCTTGCTGAACTTCGGATCCTCAATAGCTCTGATCGTGCAAGATGTATCTTTTTACATTTTTAAATTTTTGTTTAGTATAGGACAAACACAAACAATCCAACAAACATAAAGAACATTCAGATTGGGGTTACATATACCTTCTAATTATATCTGTAGAACATTCAGATTGGGGATTTCACAAACCTTCTAATTATATCTGTTACAATACCTCCTACATTGTATAACTGCAGGGCTATTTTTGGGCAGGAACGCACAGGAACGGAGTTCCGGCTGGCTCCCGAGTTGGCCACGCCCAGCAGGAACTCATTAGCATAACAGGCCACACCCAACAGCAGAAACTCATTAGGATTGGCTACATTAGGGGTGTGTGGCCTAACATGCAAAGGAGTTCCTGCTACAAAAAAAGCCCTGGCGTTTTGACAACAAACAAGGTAAACTGAATATGAAGCAAAAGGTGGCTGTGGCCGGATGACCACACTTCTGGTAACATGGGGGTGCGGCCTAATATGCTAATGAGTTCCTGCTGGGCTTTTTCTACAAAAAGAGCCCTGTTAAATAACTGCATACATAATTATATTTAGATGTTCTGTATCATAATAAAAGCTGGATTCTAAAATATTTTCAGATGAGATTATAAATCCATATTGTTCATTTACTGTAGTCTTCGAACCATTTATAAAATCTTGACCATGTACTCTGAAATCTCTCTTCTCTTTGTCCTCTCCAAAATAGTCTGCTTATCCATCTCAGCAGTTTCCAGAGTTCTGCTCAACCTTTCCTCCAGTATTTAGCATACAATATTCTTGCAGTGGTCAATAGGGCTGCCAAATGCAGCCGGGGGGCGGGGAATCCCCCGTTTTGGAGCCCCGATTCCCGGCGCGCCGGAATCGGGGCCTGGGGGAAACCCCACCCCCGCGTGCGCGTCACCGGAAGTGACGTCGCACGCTGGGGGCGGAGCCACGCTGTTTGAGGGGAAAACAAAGAGTTTTCCCCTCAAATGGCTGCCATTTGAGGGGAAAACTCTTTGTTTTCCCCTCAAACAGCGTGCGGACGGTCCCCCGCCGGTAAGAAATTAGGAGTTGGCAACCCTAGTGGTCAATACATGTATAATGAGATAAAAGTCTTGTGTTGTTTTTTTTACAGTTTTCTAGTCTTATATTCAATAAAAATAATTCGGGTGTTGATATGGGTTCAGGTCTAGCCATGCTTAGGGCGTGCCAACCTCCAGATGGGGCCCGGAGATCTCTCGCTATTACGACAGAAGACAGAGATCAGTTTCCCTGGAGAAAACGGTTGCTTTAGAGGGTGGAGTCTATGGTCTTGTGCCCACCCAAAACCCCTCCCTCTCCAGGCTCCGCCCCCCAAACCTCCAGGTATTTCTCCACCCAGAACTGGCAACCGTAGCCTTGCCTTTTTCTTTTTAGCACTATTCAGTTCTATTTTTCAGCAAGTTGGGGAGGAGATACCGAGAGCCAGGGTTATTTTTGGGCAGGAACGCACAGGAACGGAGTTCCGGCTGGCTCCCAAGTTGGCCATGCCCAGCCGGAACGCATTAGCATAATAGGCCACACCCAACAGAAGAAACTCATTAGGATTGGCTACAATTAGGGGTATGTGGCCTAACATGCAAAGGAGTTCCTGCTACAAAAAAAGGCCCTGGGTTTTGACAACAAACAAGGTAAAGAGAATAAGAAGCAATAGGTGGGTGTGGCTGGATGACCACACTTCTGGTAACATGGGGGTGCGGCCTAATATGCGAATGAGCTGTGCTGTCAGGGTGTGGCCTAATATGCTAATGAGTTCCTGCTCTTGGGTATGGCCTATTATGCTAATGAGTTCCTGCTGGGCTTTTTCTACAAAAGGAGCCCTGCCAAGAGCAGAACACGAACACAATATTTCGCTATAATAACCAGCCAGGCGAGTCACAGAAAGGAACATGCTGGCGTGTTCCAAAAAGCAGGGAAGGAGTCAAATCATCTCCCCGTGAGATTTTTCAAAACTTGGCAGGCAAAAGAAAAGCGCACGCGGAGGAGAGACACCGACCTCGTCATCCAGGATCGGTTCACACTGGGAGTAGTTCACCTTGATGGCCCAGCTCCCATTACCCAGGCACTCCCGATATGCGTTTCCTGAGGGGAAGAGGGAAAAAAAAAAACTCCATTAGTGAAAGAAAGACAGGACACCCGAGCGACAAACCGACTTAAAACATTCAGTCTGAGTAGCATCATCTTTTCCCAACCCAAGTGGGTAAGAGAGTGAACGTCCTCCCAGGGGGCTGTGTTAAGTAAACTGCGCGAAACCAGAAACAATCTACATGCTTCCCTCTCACACACCAACAGCAGTTCCTGGGTCACAGCCACAGTGAAGAAGAAGAAGAAGAGATTGGATTTATACCCCACCCTTCCCTACCCAAAGGAGTCTCAGAGCGGCTCACAATCTCCTTTCCCTTCCCCTTCTCACAACAGACACCCTGTGAGGTAGGCAGGGCTGAGAGAGCTCTGAGAGAACTGCCCTTGAGAGAACAGCTCTGAGAGAACTTGTGACTGACCCAAGGTCACACCAGCAGCTGCAAGGGGGGGGGGGGTGGGGAATCAAGCCCGGTTCTCCCAGATTAGAGTCCACACACTTAACCACTACACCAAACTGGCAGTCGCATGCATTCCCTCTGGTTAATCAAGGGCTGGGCCTGTACACCCCTTCCTCCAAAACACATAGAAGCTGGACTAGAGATGTGAAGGCCCAGAAAAAAACTGGGAAAATTGGGGGGGGGGACAGTTTCCCCCCCATTTTTTCCTGAAGCCTTTTTTGTTTTTTTCCGAAAAATTGAAAAAATTGAAAAAAGAAAAAATTGATTATAGAAAAATTTATTTTAACATGATGAATAAAATATTTTGAGACAAGGTGTTCAAATATTTTCCAAATCATTTCTAAAAAATATGTATGGTATCAGATTGATCTAATTTCTGTGCACTGAGGACAAGCAAGTCCTAGGTTACAAACTGAACTCTCCAATGCAAGAACAAGATGCATTTCTTCCTTTAGGAGGTGCTATTGTCACAAGAAAAGGAAAAGGTTTCAGTTTTGTTTTTGCATGAGGGTGGGTATTCTGTTTGTAATAATTGTTTGGATAAACTATATTTTTAATATGCTAGTTGTGATAATTTCATGCCAAGTAAAAATGTCCATAGTCATATTTTATGTCCCTAAAGTAACAGAATGACTTTCAATTTGGAAAAGAAAAAAGAAGTGCTAATGTAGCATTTTTTTCCATTTTTTCCAAAAATTTCCATCTGTTTCTGGGGAAAAAAACCCTTCCAGGAACGCCTCAAAGTCCCCCGCTGGGGGTGAAATGATGGACTTGGCAACCCTAATGAGGAGTAGCTTTTGAAAGGTCGTCCCTGTTGTTTTGACCCGAATAGCTCTCTTTTTGTAAGGTTTGTTTTTGCCAAACGAACCGACGCTTATTCACTTTTGTGTCGTATTCTTTCCTCACATTGAAGCTTCCCCCTAATTTCATTTATTTGCTTCATTTTTATATTGATATTTATATTGCTGTTTTAGCCATTATTCTCTTCATGTAAGCCGCCGTGAGTTTGCCTTGGCGAGAGGGCGGGGTAAAAATCAAATCAAATCAATCAATCAATCAATCAATTTATACCCTGCCTTCTCCCCAATGTGGACCCAAAGCAGCATATATCATTCCTCCATTTTATTCCTGTCCTCCATTTTATTTCTGTGAGGTAGATCTGCCTCAGAGGGTGTGACTGGCCCAAAAGGGTGTGACCAGCAAAAGCCGCAGAGAGCCAGTGTGGCGTGGTGGTTAAGAGTGTCAGACTCACATGGTGAAGATGCAGGTTCAAATCCCCACTTGTACCATGGAAGCTTGCTGGGTGACCTTGGGACAAGTCACCTCCTTATCTACCTGCCTACTTCATTCATACCCTGCCTTTCTCCCCAGTATAGACCCAAAGTGGCATACATCATTCTACTTTCCTCCATTTTATCCTCACAAGAATCCTGTGAAGGGGGTTAGGCTGAGAGTGTGTGACTGTCCCAAGTTCACCCAGCAAGCTTCCATGGCACGAGTCGGAATTCGAACTCGGCTCTCCCAAATCCTACTCCAGCTCTCCAACCTCTAGGCCAGGTTGGCTTTCTGTGCGGAATGAGGAGAAACGTTCTGTCCTGACCATCTAAACCAGTGGTTCTCAACCTGTGGGTCGCGACCCCTTTCGACCGACCCTTTCACAGGGGTCGCCTGAGACCATCGGAAAATTTGTAACAATGAAAATACATCCTGCATATCAGATATTTACATTACGATTCATAACAGTAGCAAAATTACAGTTATGAAGTAGCAGTGAAAATAATTTTATGGTTGGGGGTCACCACAACATGAGGAACTGTATTAAAGGGTCGCAGCATTAGGAAGGTTGAGAACCACTGCCCTAAACCATTACACCACTGCACCACACTACACTGATTGTTCATATAAATATCTATCCTGTATGTTTTTCTCCCATTATTTCTCAAAGGACTTCAGAAGAGCAACTTACACAACAAAACATAAGAAGAACATAAAAACAACAACAATTCTTAATCGAAACCTGGTATAAAACAAACAGAGCATAAAATACATAGATAACGAGGCAGCTTCACATGAATATGAGTTTCCAGACTAAAACGTATGCCATTAAAATGGTGGTAAAACATCATCACATAAGAACCTCAGAAGTGCCCTGCTGGATCAGACCAGTGGTCCATCTAGTCCAGCCTCCTGTCTCACACAGTGGCCAAACAGTTCCTCTGGAGGGCCAACAACAGGGCACAGAGGCCGAGGCCTTCCCCTGAGAAGAACCTCAGAAGAGCTCTGCTGGATCAGACCAGTGAGGGTCCATCTAGTCCAGCCTCCTGTCTCACACAGTGGCCAAACAGTTCCTCTGGAGGGCCAACAACAGGGCACAGAGGCCGAGGCCTTCCCCTGAGAAGAACCTCAGAAGAGCTCTGCTGGATCAGACCAGTGAGGGTCCATCTAGTCCAGCCTCCTGTCTCACACAGTGGCCAGGCAGTTCCTCTGGAGGGCCAGCAACAGGACATAGAGGCCGAGGCCTTCCTACGATGTTGCCTCCTTGCTCGGGGATTCAGAGACTGACTGCCTCTGAACAGGGGGCTTCTGTTTAATCACCATGGCTAGTAGCCATTGATCGACCCCTCTTCCATGAATCTTTCAAATCCTCCTCTAAAGCTGCTTATCCCGGTGGCCATCACTACATCCTCTGGCAGCGAATTCCACATTTTAATCACTCTCCATGTAAAGTAGTATTTCCTTTTGTGTGGCATGAACTTACTGCCCATCAGCTTCATTGGATGCCCTAAAGTTCTAGTATTTGGGGAGAGGGAGAAAAAAGTTCTCTTTGTCAAGTCTCTCCACCCCATGCATCTCTCCTTATAATAATTCCATTTTCGAGTGACAAAGTTCTATGCACGCCAAAATCAGTTGGCTGCCTGAACTGCCACTCAGAAGGCACTGGCTGCATTGGCTGCCTGGGTTGCGGAGTCCCGCCCACAGAAGCGGTGGCCACCGTCTCCGGCTCAGTGTGCTTGGAGCCGACGGAAGGGATGGATGGGACTCTCAGCGGGGCTGGGGATGGCCGGGGCCTCCTTCCCTCTGACTCACGTGCAACGTCGGGGTGGGGAGGGGGGTCCTTGCTTCAGTCCTCTCCCACGGCCCTCTCCATCTCTCTCTCACTCCATACATGGAGCGAGGACCCAGCACGCAGCATCCGGTTCCCCCCTCATGACGACAATGCCCCGGCTACTCACCAGTCCTCCCCGGCTCTGGCCACTCGTACTGGCTCCGCCTCACACGCCGGCTCCATTGCCCGCCTTGCACTGTTTAAAATGGCTGTGAGGCACAGTGGGATGGGGGGGGGAGAGGAGGACAGAAAAGCAACACAACCAGAGTCGGGGTGGGGGGCCCACCCAGGTGGAAGACAGGAGTGCCCACGGCAGCAATGGTCTGGCCATGGCACTCGGGGGGGGGAAGGGGGGGCAGTGCAGGCCAGAGCACTCTCCCAGGCCCTCTTTCTAGAGCTCGTTGCATTTCTTTCTGCAACGGGCCTTATTACTAGTAATTTTATAAACCTCTGTCACGTCCCCCCTTAGTCATCCCTTTTCTAAGCTGAAATTCCACAGTGAGGTGCTGCTACCGAAAAGGTGAATTGGCCTTCTGAGGGAAGTTCTTTTGAAAAGAATGAAAAAGGAGTCTCCTTTTCTGTCAGGGACTGTGGCGTAAATCAGAAGGCCCGGAGAGATGTGCCATTATAAAGCCAAAATAAAAGAAAGAGTAGAACTTTCTCCCAAATCCCATCATCCCCAGCATTGGTTTGCCTGGACAAGCTGTCCTAAACATCGGTGGTCATTTGTCTAATGAGATTTTATTGGAGAGGGGGGGTTCAACCCCAGCAGACATGATTATGCTTTCCTTCCCCCCTGCTGACACACTGAATTTTCCTCTGGATGGTTTTCTCTGAAAGCAGAATAATAATTTCAAGACCCTTTTAGTGCTCTGATGAATTAATTTGACAACCTCTCCATCCTCCTTTTGTTGTGAACATTGGAGCATCCTCTGGAATCAGAATCCGGGCAGAGATGCCCTTCGTACTCACAAAGTGGCCAAATTACTTTAAAAAAAAAAAGTGGGGAAAAGGCAGGAGGTCTCTATCAGGGTATTTTGCTAATATAGCATAGTTTGCCCATTCATAGATCCAGTTCGCATTCAGGTTGTAGTCAAAAGGAGAGAAAGAAGCCAAATCTAGAGAGTGCTTTCCCTATTGCAAATGGCCAGCTTGTTTGGCATCGTGTGTATGGGAGGATGAGGGCATTGTCTCTACAGGAGAGACCTGCAGAGATATGTCTCTCTGTGGAAAGCCATGAGGAGAGAGGGAGAGGACAATGTGAGAGAGAAGAGGAGTCAGAGGGCATCTCCCAGGTTAAGAAAGAGAGGCATCCGATTCAAGGAGATAAAACCTATAGACAGAGTGATACAGCGCCTCCCAATGTCCAGGCACGCTGAGTCGCCTCATTTCAACAGTCTCAGCCCCTGCCTGTCTCATTTTTATCCCACCCCTCC